TGTGTGTGTGTGTGTGTGTGTGTGTGTGTGTGTGTGTGTGTGTGTATGTGTGTATTTTACAGAAATTTTTAAGTTTAATGTAACTATCCATAAAGATGTATGGAGTAGGAACTTATGCATTAAAAATGTCTTTTATCCTAATAATATAATCTGCCAAAAATAAATTTTTAAAAATTTATTTATTTATTTATTTTATTACGTTCAATTAGCCAACATATAGTACATCATTAGTTTTTGATGTAGTGTTCAGTGATTCATTAGTTGCATATAACACCCAGTGCTCATCACATCACATGTCCTCCTTAATACCCATCACCTGGTTACGACATCTTCCCACCCCCCTCCCTTCTTCAACCCTCAGTTTTTTCCCGGAGTCAAGAGTCTCCCATGGTTTGTCTCCCTCTCTGATTTCTTCCCATTCAGTTTTCCCTCTCTTCCCCTTTGGTCCTCTGCACTATTCCTTATATTCCACCTATGAGTGAAACCATCTGATGATTGTCTTTCTCTGCTTGACTTATTTCACTTAGCTTAATCCCCTCCCATTCCATCCATGTTGATGCAAATGGTAGGTATTCATCCTTTCTGATGGCTGAGTAATAGTCCATCTTATATATGAACCACATCTTCTTTATCCATTCATCTGTTGAAGGACATCTTGGCTCCTTCCACAGTTTGGCTATTGTGGACATTGCTGCTATAAAACATTAGGGTGCATGTGCCCCTTCTTTTCACTACATCTGTGTCTTTGGGGCAACTACTTAGTAGTGCAATTGCTGGGTCATTGGGTAGCTCTATTTTTTAATGTTTTGAGGAACCTCCACACTGTTTTCCAGAGTGGCTGTACTGGTTTGCAGTCCCACCAACAGTGTAAGAAGTTCCCCTTTCTCCACATCATCGTCAGCATTTGTTGTTCCCTGTCTTGTTAATTTTAGCCATTCTGACTGGTGTAATGTGGTATCTCACTGTGGTTTTGATTTGTATTTCCCTGTTGGCTAGTGATGTTGAACATTTTTTCATATGTCTGTTAGCCATTTGTATGTCTTCTTTGGAGAAGTGTCTGTTCATGTCTTCTGCCCATTTCTTGACTGGATTATTTGTTTTTTGGTTGTGGAGTTTTAGAAATTCTTTATAGATCTTGGACACCAGCCCTCTCTTCATCTGTTATGTCATTTGCAAATATCTTCACCCATTCCATGAGTTGCCTTTTAGTTTTGTTGACTGTTTCCTAAAATTCAAGTTAGTTAACATATAGTCTAGTATTGGTTTTAGGAGTAGAATTTAGTGATTCATAACTTATATATAACACCCACTGCTCATCCCAACAAGTGCCCTCTTTAATGCCCATCATCCATTTAGCCCATCCTCCCACCCACCTCCCCTCCAGCAACCCTCAGTTTGTGCTCTATAGTTAAGAGTCTCTTATGGTTTGCCTCCTTCTCTGTTTTTATCTTATTTTATTTTCCCTTTCCTTCCCCTGTGTTCATCTGTTTTGGTTCTTAAATTCCACATATGAGTGAAATCATATGATATTTGTCTTTCTCTGACTGACTTATTTCGCTTAGTATAATACCCTCTAGGTATTATCTCTCCCATCTTATTGGTTGCTTTTTAGTTTTGTTGGTTGTTTCCTTCACTGTGCAGAAGATTTTTATCTTAATAAGGTCCCAATAGTTCATTTTTGCTCTTGTATTCCTTGCCTCCAGAGACATGTCTAGTAAGAATTTGATGCAGCTGAGGTCAAAGAGACTGCTGCCTGTTTTCTCCCCTAGGATTTTGATGGTTTCCTGTCTTACATTTAGGTCTTCCATCCATTTTGAATTTATTTTTGTGTATAGTGTAAGAAAGTGGTCCAGTTTCATTCTTCTGCATGTCACGTCCAGTTTTCCCAACACCATTTGTTGAATATACTGTCTTTGTGTGTGTGTTTTAACTTTTTTATTTAAATTCAATTAGCCGAGGTATAGTACATCATTAGTTTTTGATATAATGTTCAATGTGTGTGTTTTTTTAGCTGTCTCAAATTCCCTAAGCAGCTTGTTTTTTCTTCTCCGGAGATCACAATCTCTTATTCCTCCTGGTGTCATCTTGTGGAACTGCATAATGTCTGTAGCTCTGAGCCACTTTTTAAAAAAATTTTTATTGTTATGTTAATCACCATATATTACATCATTTGTTTTGGTGTAGTGTTCCATGATTCATTGTTTGTTCATAACACCCAGTGCTCCATGCAGAATGTGCCCTCTTTAATACCCATCACCAGGCTAACCCATCCCCCTACCCTCCTCCCCTCTAGAACCCTCAGTTTGTTTTTCAGAGTCCATCATCTCTCCTGGTTCGTCTCCCCCTCTGACTTACTCCCCTTCATTCTTCCTCTCCTGCTATCTTCTTCTTTTTCTTTTTTCTTAAAATATGTTGCGTTATTTGTTTCAGAAGTACAGATCTGTGATTCAACAGTCTTGCACAATTCATAGCGCTCACCGTAGCACATACCCTCCCCCATGTCTATCACCCAGCCACCCCATCCCTCCCACCCCCGACCACTCCAGCAACCCTCAGATTGTTCCTGAGATTAAGAATTCCTCATATCAGTGAGGTCATATGATACATGTCTTTCTCTGATTGACTTATTTCACTAAGCATAACACCCTCCAGTTCCATCCGCGTCATTGCAAATGGCAAGATCTCATTCCTTTTGAAGGCTGCATAATATTCCATTGTGTATATATACCACCTCTTCTTTATCCATTCATCTGTCGATGGACATCTTGGCTCTTTCCACAGTTTGGCTATTGTGGACATTGCTGCTATAAACATTGGGGTGCACGTACCCTTTCGGGTCCCTCCATTTGTATCTTTGTGGTAAATACCCAGTAGTGCAATTGCTGGATCGAATGGTAGCTCTAATTTCAACTGTTTGAGGAACCTCCATACTGTTTTCCAGAGGGGTTGCACCAGCTTGCATTCCCACCAACAGTGTAGGAGGGTTCCCCTTTTCTGAGCCACTTTGATGGTATCTGTTTTCAGCACTTCTTTTTCTTTTTTTTAAATTCTTTTTTTTTATTATTATGTTATGTTAGTCACCATACAGTACATCATTAGTTTTAGATGTAGTGTTCCATGATTCATTATTTGTGCTTCTAAACTGCTCTGCTGTTCCTACTATGCTCTGAATCAGATGAGACAGAAACCATCCCCTCAGTCAGTCCCCAGACAATCTAAATTGTTTGATGCATGGTCTGTTCTGTTTCCATCTTGAGGGTGGAGCAGGTATGGGAGGTTTCCTCCTAATTGTGTTGCTACACCAGGTTGGGGTGGCATATGAGTGTACAAAACTTTGCAAACTTTCCTACAGCTTTCACTGGAATCCCTTCCTGGTTTTCCATTGGCCTGGGTGCTGCTCCTTCTCAGTTGGTTTCTAGCATTCTTCCAAAGGTATTTTGGTCCATAGAGTGTGGTTATTTGGATGTCTCCATGGGAGAAGGGTTGGGGACTTCTTAGTCTGTCATTTTACTGATGTCACTACCCTAAATGACTTAAAAACAATAATTTTTGCCAGTAGCTGGGAGTAGATGCATGGAGCTTCTTGCACTGTCATACCATCTGCATAGGACTATTCCTGTTTTAAACCCCAAAGTTTGTGATGATTAGTTACAGCAACCATAGCAAACATACTTAGCTCAGTATTTAAAACTATATGTATAGATACCTTTTATTTATTATGTAGAAATGGTATAAATTTAATACATTTCTTACTCTTTGGCTCTTGACATGGAGATTGAACTTATTCACAATATTTTTCCTCTAAATCATTTTCATGTACATCCACACTTCCAACTCTAACTAGAATCTTCTTATTAGGAAGAAGACAAAGCCATAAACCCAAGGATTATGGGAGTAAGAGATCTGAGTTCTATTGTCCATTCCCTGTGTAACTTTGGGCAAGCCCAATCTCTGGGTCCCAACTTCCTCATATGTTACATTGAAGGGTTGGACCTTGGAGTGGACATAAATGTTGTCTTTAGTCTGTTGAACATTTATATCATTGGGTTGGTGGATACCCTACCTAGCATTTCCTCTCCCTTATAATAATGAGTAAGTGAAAGGCATAGGAAAGGCGATTTCAAATGACTCCCTGGGATTCATTTGTGGAGGCTGGGAATAAGAAGCTCTCTTTCCATTCTGGCTGCTAAGATGAGGTAATGAATGTCAACATTTTCTATACTTATCTGTTCCATTATATGGATTAGGTCTATGTGTAGCCAAAGCCAGGCAGAGATGAATAGAGATGAAAGAATTTCAAAGAATAAGAGTCTTGGTGGCACTGAGTCCTTAGTCCTAAAGCTCTGCATTGGATGCTGTGAGGAACCTAGAATCCTCCTCAGCTACAGGATCACATTAAACTAATATTTTTCATTTTTATCCCCTGTAAGGAAAGGTTCTTCACTAATATGTAGAGCATGCTAGAGAGAGCCCAGACCAACTTTACCTCTTTCTCCTACTGTCTGTACCCCTGAATTCCCTTGAGCCTCAGTTTCTTCATTCATACAATAAGGATAATCATTGTTATACTCAAGTTGCTATGCAGGCAAATACAATAATATGGGAAAAGTAGATGCTTGGTGTACAGTAGATGCCCAACAAATAGTAGTATTGTAGTATCACCAATTTAATCATTTCTCAAGCTGGATATTGCTCAGAGTTCAGAGGTTATAACAAAATAGAAAAATTAAATAAGTAAGGCTTTCGGAACAGAAAAAATGGTTTGAAATTGTACTTCAGTGCTCTGTGGATGTGGGAACTTTATCACCTGGCATCCCTTAGGACAGTGCTGACTTTAAGCAAACTGGCTTAACAAGGAGATGTTTTCTTTCCCATTATCGGAGGTCCAGAAATGGGGTTGGAACCAGGAACAATATGGCTGTGCAATGTTGTCAACCCACATTCTTTATATCTTTGCACTTCTCTAGAGCAGATTTTTCCTCAACTTGGTTCCCCTCATGGTCATAAGATGTCTCTCTGGAGCACCTGGAGCAACCTGATTGCTTGTTCCTAGCCAACAGGAGAGAGAGTTGTATTAGTTTCCCAGATTTCTCTGCAAGTCTGTCCTTTTCACTTATGGACACAAATTGGCTTAAACCTGTCTCATATTTGAGTTAACCACTAGTAGGGAGTCATGAAATTACCTTAATTTGTTTAAATCTAGCTATTGGGGGTGAGTTATTCAATATTGGGATGTCAACCAAAATATCCCTCACCATTCAATTGACCTTTCTGAGTCTGTTTCTCCTCTGTAAAACACTTAACTCACAGGTTGTTGAGAGAATGACAGATCAAATGTATAATGCACCTTCAATAATATTTAGCATAATATAGTAATTCAATGACTAGAGGATTGGTTAACTGAGATGATAGCCCATAATAGGGGGTGGATGAGACAAACTCACTAGTCACAAACACCTTGGTGCCCGGACCTGATTGGAACTCCGTGTCAGGTTTCCCCTCCTTGAATTTTACACAGTAGTAGATGCCAGTGTCTGCAGGAGAGAGTTCACTGATGCGGATGGAAAAGTCTGTGTTGCCAGGTTTGGTGGGGTGTCCAATTTCTTTTACTCTGGGAAAGAAACCTTCCTTGAAATTGTAGATTATTTCCCGGTTTGGCCCATGTCCCTTGAACCATAAGACGGGTCCTTTTGGGAATGAATCTGGTACACTGCAACTCAAGGTGATTGTCTCTCCAGTTGATACAGTCTGTGTCATCTCAGCTTGTTGCACCTGGAATATCTCATGTGTGGTTCCTGCAAAGAAATGCAGAATCATTTCCCATTTCTCATGCTCTGGCCCAGGCAGGACTGAGGAACTAGGATCCAGATCATGGGTGGGCCTCATTCATGACTTCTGTTAATGATGTGCACACACACACACACACATGCACACACACACACGCACACACACACACACTCACACACACTGAGTTTAGAGAGGCCTCTGCAAGTGGTGGAAGCTCCTGACCTGGGAGGGGAGTCAGTGCAGAGGATCAGATGTATCACCTCCCCAGTTCCACGTCCCAGCCCCTAACCAAGGAAAGAGGAGGACAGGGAGGGAGAGGACTGGGATTATGTATTGATAGTGTTTATAGAGAGAGACCAGTCCCTCTCCCATCTAAATGCCAAAAAATCACTCAATACATTTGGAGATGGGTCCAAGTGTCCTCTGCCGACCTCATACCTATAGGGAGTTCGGGATTGACCCTCATCTCTTTTCTGAAGGGTGAGCAGCCACTGAATTTGTGGAGATATTAGTGCTGAGAGGTGTGGAGAAAGGGTAAGTCAAGAGATAGCAAACCTAGAGAATCAGGAGCCATTTAGGACTACTAAATGGAGGCATGCAGGCAGAGTATGGTTCCTCTGCTAATCTGTCAAGGGGGAAGAGAGAGACAGTTTCCTCTTCTCAACAAAAAAGAGTAGAACCTCTAGGGACCTTATCAATTTTGGAGGGCCCACAACTGACCCCCAACACCCTCTGCCACCACCATCACTACCCCATATTAGTCAGGTCCTGGTAATCTCACTCCTTTCAGGTTGGCAAACTATCAAAAGCACAGATGGGCTAAGGTGTGGGTTAGAGAGACAAGGGAACTCGTGTCTGGTGAGGCTGGGAGAGAATGCGGGTAAGTGGCCTATGCTCAGACTTGTTGGTTTAAGGGACATATGTAAATTTTCCATGGCCAGTTGGATATCATGGAATGTGACTGGACTCGAAAAGAACATCACTGAGGAAGAGTAGTTCTCCCAGAAGAGCAGATAGACACACTAATCTCACTGCATTTAACGTAATTAATCCAGAGAGTGGCAAGAAGTAGCAAACACTGGTTGTCCTCAGAAGCGAATAGCAGAGCTGGGGGTAGACTAGGGCAGACCAGGGAAAGATCAAATGCCAGGGAGAGTGACTCAACCCCTCTAGGACAGCTTTTCCAAACAAGATGTGGGGGTGGGTGATACTCAAGCCCCATCCTTCTGGTCTCCTGGCTCCCCAGAAGCTATAGTAGGAGCCCACACCCACTCATTGACTTCCTGTGTGGGGAACGGGGTCCCTGACTGCACTGTGGTGGCCCCTCAGGGACCTGCCACCAGGCTTCAATCACATTCCAGTTAGAAATGGGTGAGTGGATTTGTGCAGGCTTGTAGAGAGTCTGCCTGCTTGTGGATCCGTTTGCTTTGGCTCAGGAGGTATTGGGCTTAGTGGGCAAACTCTACCCTGTGTTAAGATTTCATCCTGAATCTGGAAGATAAGATATGGCAACAAGGGTCAGTGAATGGAAAATGGGTCTTAGAGCATAGGTTAGAAGATACTCAGTGGATAGCTCTCATCCCAGGATTGTCCCCCAGACCTTAGAAAAGCCAGCTGGCCATGTAGGTCTGTTTTTCTCACATTTTGGATCATAAAGTGCACACCTGTAGTTGTATTGTGCTTACCTGGTGTCTTTTTATGTGAGAGTTTCCCTTGCCACGTGTCACTGGTTTGGTGGAGTTGGCCATCAGGGCAGGGCATGGCCTCTCAACATGGCTTGATTCAATATTAGGCACAGGACCACAGAATGGTTAATTAATAGGGCCATCTGCAGAATCTAACTTATAGGGTGGTTTGTGATTGAAGGGGCACAGAATCTAGTGTGTAGTGATGATTTGGTACATGTTTCAGATTTTTAAAAAATTATTTTTACAAACCAAGGGGTTGGAGTTTGTCAGGGTGTACTCACCATTCACAGACACAAAGGTGCCTGAACCAGATACATATGCCATGTCAGGGTGTGCTATTGTTAGCTTCACACAGTAATAGGTGCCCACATCTTTGGGTGACACATCACTGATGCGGATGGAATAGTCTGTTTGGTTGAACTCTGTGTTTTCCACTTGGGTTACTCGGGGGAATTGGCTTCCATTGAAATTGTAGATTAATTGTCGTTCTTGCCCATTCTCCCTGAACCATAAGACAGGCCCTGCTGGGGATCGAGCAGACACGTTGCAGCCCAGTGTTAAGATCTCTCCAGCTCTGACTGAAACTGAACTCTCAGGCTGGGTCACCTGAAAGTCTTCATCTGAAGTTCCTGGAAAGAAATTTTGCATCTTTTCTCATGTTCTTTGTCTTGGCCGAAGATGTTCTGAGGGTCTGCTTTTAGGTCAAGGTGGGGCCTCATTACACACTCTTTTAGCAATATGTACTGGTGCCAAAGTACGAAAATTACAAACTGGGTTGCCATATGGGATGAGGGGAAGGGGACCAATGTACAGAAAGGTGGAGGGTACCTTGCATCAGGATAAGAGAATGGCCTGGAGCATAGTAGATGCTATATAAACAGGGGAACTTGCTGAATAACAAATTACCACAAACTTAGTTTAAGGAAACACATATTATTTCATAGTTCCTGTGGACCAGGAATTCAGGCACAGCTTAGCTTAGCTGTCATACACAGAGGGAAGATGATGTGAAGACACAGTGGGAATTCCATGTACAATCTGAGGATGGTCTGAGGCTACCAGAAGCTAGGAGAGAGGCCTGGAACAGATTCCTCCTCACAGTTTATAGCAGCTTTAGTTATAATTGCCAAGCTTAAAAGCAACCAAGATGACCTTCAATAGGTGAATGGATAAAGAATTGTGGTACACCCAGACAGTGGAATATTATCCAGTGCTAACAACAAATGAGCTATCAACCCCTGAAAAGATATGGAAGAAGCTTAATCAAAAGGAGAAGCCTGCATACTGCATGATTCCAAGTATATGATATGCTGGAAAAGGCAAAACTATGGGGGAAGGGAATATATCAGTGATTGCCAGGGTTAGGGTGGAAAGAGATAAATAAGCAGAGCACAGAGGATTTTTAGGGCAGTGAAGCTACTCTGTATAATACTATAAAAGTGGATATCACTATACATTTGTCCAAATCCATAGACTATATAATACTAAGGGTGAAACGTAATGTGAATTATGGACTTTGGGTGTTAATAACATACTAGTGTAGGTTCACCATTTGTAATAAATGTACCACTCTGGTGGAGGATGTTGGTAATTGGAGAGTGATATGTGGGGACAGGGAGTAGTATGGGAAATCTCTGCACTTTCTGTTCCATTCTGGTGTGAAACTAAAACTGCTTTAAAATACAAAGTCTATTTATAAAAAAATCATTTCCATATCAAAGGTCATTTAGATTTTCTTCTATGATATCTTGTAGGAATTTTATAGTTTTGTGTTTTACATTTGAGTTATTTTTATGAAGGTTGTTAGGTCTGTGTCTAGAATCAATTTTTTTCTCTTTGCACATGGACGTCCAGATGTCCAGTTGCTCTAGCAACATTTGTTGAAAAGACTATTTTGCTCCTTTCCCAAAGATCAGTTGGCTGTATTTATGTGGGTCTATTTCTGGACTTTCTATTCTGTTGCATTGATATGTGTGTTATTCCTTCACCAATGCCACTGTTTCAATTACTGTAGCTTTCTAGTAAGTCTTGTATTGAATGGTGTCAGTCCTCTGACTTTGTTCTTTTCCAACATTGAGTTGGCTATTCTGGATTTTTAACTTCTCCATATGAACTTTAGAATCAGTTTGTCAATACCTATCAAATAGTTTGCTCTTATATTGATTGGGATTGCATTTAATCCTTAGATCAAGTTGGGAAGAATGAATATCCTGACAATATTGAGTCTTCCTATCCATGAATATGGTATGTATCTTTATTTGTTTAGTTCTTCTTTGATTTAAAACTGATTGCTTTAATTGGTTTTCTAGCTTTCTTTATATACAACTTGTACATATAAGATTTATACATATTTCTCTTTTTTAGAGGGTGATAATGTAAATGGTCACATGTGTTTTTAGTATATAGAAACATAATTGATTTTTTAAACATATTTTTACCTTAAAATGTACAGTAAATATCTTTCTTTTTTAATTAACATATGATGTATTATTTGTTTCGGGGTACAGGTCTGTGATTCATCAGTCTTACACAATTCACAGAGCTCACCATAGCACATACCCTCCCCAATGTCCATCACCCAGCCACCCCATCCCTCCCACTCCCCTCCACTCCAGCAACCCTCAGTTTGTTTCCTGACATTAAGAGTCTCTTATGGTTTATCTCCCTCTCTGGTTTCATCTTGTTTCATTTTTCCCTCCCTTCCCCTATGATCCTCTGTCTTGTTTCTCAAATTTCTCATATCAGTGAGATCATATGATACTTGTCTTTCTCTGGTTGACTTATTTAGCCTAGCATAATACCTTCTAGTTTCATCCACATCATTGCAAATGGCAAGATTTCATTTTTTTGATGGCTGCATAATGTTCCATTGTATATATATACCACATCTTCTTTATCCATTCATCTGTTGATGGACGTCTAGGCTCTTTCCATAGTTTGGCTATTGTGGACATTGCTGCTACAAACACTGTGGTGCAGATGCCCCTTTGGATCACTACATTTGTATCTTTGGGGTAAATACCCAGTAGTGCAATTGCTGGATCATACAGTAGCTCGATTTTCAACTTTTTGAGGAACCTCTATACTGTTTTCCAGAGTGGCTGCACCAGCTTGCATTCCCACCAACAGTGTAGGAGGGTTCGCCTTTCTCCACATCCTAGCCAACATCTGTCATTTCCTGACTTGTTAATTTTAGCCATTCTGACTGGTGTGAGGTGGTATCTCATTGAGGTTTTGATTTGTATTTTCCTGATGCCAAGTGATGTTGAGCACTTTTTCATGTGTCTGTTGGCCACTTGGATGTCTTCTTTGGAGAAATGTCTGTTCATATCTTCTGCCCATTTCGTGATTGGATTATTTGTTCTTTGGGTGTTGAGTTTGGTAAGTTCTTTATAGATTTTGGATACTAGCCCTGTATCTGATATGTCATTTGCAAATATCTTCTCCCATTCTGTCAGTTGTCTTTTGGTTTTGTTGACTCTTTCCTCTGCTGTGCAAAAGCTTTTTATCTTGATCAAGTCCCAATAGTTCATTTTTGCCCTTGCTTCCCTTGCCTTTGGCGATGTTTCTAGGAAGAAGTTGCTGCGGCTGAGGTCGAAGAGGTTGCTGCCTGTGTTCTCCTCAAGGATTTTGATGGATTCCTGTCTCACATTAAGGTCTTTCATCCATTTTGAGTCTATTTTTGTGTGTGATGTAAGAAAATGGTCCAGTTTCATTCTTCTACATGTGGCTGTCCAATTTTCCCAACATCATTTGTTGAATAGACTGTCTTTTTCCATTGGACATTCTTTCCTGCTTTATCGAAGATTAGTTGACCATAGAGTTGAGGGTCCATTTCTGGGCTCTCTATTCTGTTCCATTGATCTATGTGTCTGTTTTTGTGCCAGTACCATACTGTCTTGATGATGACAGCTTTGTAATAGAGCTTGAAGTCCGGAATTGTGATGCCACCAGCTTTGATTTTCTTTTTCAACATTCCTCTGGCTATTCGGGGTCTTTACTTGTTCCATACAAATTTTAGGATTATTTGTTCCATTTCTTTGAAAAAAGTTGATGGTATTTTGATAGGAATTGCATTAAATGTGTAGATTGTTCTAGGTAGCATAGACATTTTTACAATATTTGTTCTTCCAATCCATGAGCATGGAACGTTTTTCCATTTCTTTGTGTCTTCCTCTATTTCTTTCATGAGTATTCTATAGCTTTCTGAGTACAGATTCTTTGCCTCTTTGGTTAGATTTATTCCTAGGTATCTTATGGTTTTGGGTGCAGTTGTAAATGGGATCGACTCCTTAATTTCTCTTTCTTTTGTCTTGTTGTTGGTGTATAGAAATGCCACTGATTTCTGTGCATTGATTTTATGCCCTGTCACTTTACTGAAGTCCTGTATGAGTTCTAGCAGTTTTGGGGTGGAGTCTTTTGGGTTTTCTACATAAAGTATCATATCATCTGCAAAAAGTGAGAGTTTCACTTCTTTGTCAGTTCAGATGCCTTTTATTTCTTTTTGTTGTCTGATTGCTGAGGCTAGGACTTCAAATACTGTGTTGAATAGCAGTGGTGATAGTGGGCATCCCTGCCATGTTCCTGACCTTAGGGAACAAGCTCTGAGTTTTTCCCCATTGAGTATGACATTCATATGGGTTTTTCATAGATGGCTTTTATGATACTGAGGTATGTACCCTCTAACCCTACACTGTGAAGAGTTAATCATGAAAGGATGCTGTACTTTGTCAAATGCTTTTTCTGCTTCTATTGAGAGGATCATATAATTCTTGTTCTTTCTTTTATTAATGTATTATATCATATTAATTGATTTGCAGATGTTGAAGCAACCTTGCAGCCCAGGAATAAATCCCACTTGGTCGTGGTGAATAATCCCTTTAATGTACTGTTGGATCCTATTGGCTAGTATTTTGGTGAGAATTTTTGCATCCATGTTCATCAAGGATATTGGTCTGTAATTCTTTTTGATGTGGTCTTTGGTTTTGGGATCAAGGTAATGCTGGCCTCATAAAATGAGTTTGGAAATTTTCCTTCTGTTTCTATTTTTTGGAACAGTTTCAGAAGAATAAGTATTAATTCTTCTTTAAATGTTTGGTAGAATTCCCCTGGGAAGCCATCTGACCCTGGCCTCTTGTTTGTTGGGAGATTTTTGATTACTGCTTTGATTTCCTTACTGGTTATGGGTCTGTTCAGTTTTTCTATTTCTTCCTGGTTCAGTTTTGGTAGTCTATACATCTCTAGGAATGCACCCATTTCTTCCAGATTATCTAATTTGCTGGCATATAGCTGCTCATAATATGTTCTTATAATTGTTTATATTTTATTGGTGTTGGTTGTGATCGCTCCTCTTTCATGATTTTATGTATTTGGGTCCTTTCTCTTTTCTTTTTGATAAGTCTGGCCAGGGGTTTATCAATCTTGTTAATTCTTTTAAAGAACCAGCTCCCAGTTTCATTGATCTGTTCTACTGTTCTTTTGGTTTCTATTTCATTGATTTCTGCTCTGATCTTTACTATTGCTCTTCTCCTGCTGGGTTTAGGCTTTATTTGCTGTACTTTCTCCAGCTCCTTTAGGTGTAGGGTTAGGTTGTGTATTTGAGACCTTTCTTGTTTCTTGAGAAAGGCTT